TAAAAATGATGATGATTTTTTAATCTCACCAGAAGCATTAGCCTGCTGCCCTTCAGTGTGCGACTGCATGTTGACAAGAGTCCCTGTATAGCAGCCATGGTCCCAAGTCTGACCTTCTTGGCTGGATGAACACATAGCTAAAAATAACATAAATATATATATATGAAGTCAAACATTTTGAAAGAAGTTGACAGCCAATCCATTAAATAGTCATAATATCTGAACTTACGTGTGGAAATGCTGAGGACAATAATTTATTCACATGAGAAGAAGTTGTAGCAATCCAATCTTTTGTACGTTCCACATACAAAGATTTCGTATGTCCATTCCCTTTGAAGCCAGATTGCGATGGAGTATTAGTATTACTATTGATTATCACCTCTTGGGTTGTTGACTTTATTGCTACAATTTGACCCTGATCTTGCTTTTTCCCAGGAAAACGGCGAAGCTCCTCTAGAAATGATAGTGGAGACTTATTTGTATTTATATCAATGTCATCATCAACAAGACTTGATAAATTCGCATCGTCTTGAAGAACTATGATGAGAAACTCGGTCAAAGCTCTAAGTGCTTGGTCCATAGCTTCCATACTTCCAGCAGCCCCAGTAATCATTGTTTTTGAGACATGCAAAACTTTTCCAATTTGACTAACAACACCAGGTAAAAAGAAAGCTAGTTCATCAGCTCTACCAACCTGCATTCAAATGAAAACTACATGATCAAAAATAAGCTTGGTCAAGCAAGTGAAATTGATTTAACTCCGGTTATTGAGAATAATTGACTATGGTAACATTAAGAAACAAGACTTTCATGCTGATCAATCTTTAATTGTTGTATTGAACTGACTAGTTATCCAAATTCAAATCTAGCTTCAATGATTCATTTCTTAGTATAGATAAATATTTAATTACTGTAAGGGAAGTTGGCTCTCACAGACCAAATTATTGGCGAAATGTTCTCAACTTGTTAGGGTATTTATTGTGTGTTTTCAAAGATGCATTTGGTGTATGAATACGATAGCATTGACAAGCTTCTTTTCAGTATGCTTGTTTTCTTCTTGAAAAGATTCGTATTATTTGGTTAAAATTATCAATGAATTTTGAAAACCATATCCATATCATGGAAATGATTGTTTGGGTCATTTTAGTTGGATGGAAAGGAATGACCAAATAGGTGATGGAATACAAAACAATCTTGTGCTTGCTTATAACTTACCTACCTTAGCAACAAGAATGCGAAGAGTCATGAAGGCTTCTACACGAAGCTTAGAACTGCCTACATGGCCCCGCCCTGCCTCAGCATCTGCAGCCTATGCAAAACATCCAAGATTAAGTTTCAAATCTATATAAATTGGCAACACAAGAAGAAATATAAGTACCTAACCTACTTTCAATAAAAGTGACAGCCAGTGTCCAACAGTGACGATTGCAGACTGAGAACGAAGGAATGAAAGTAAACATTCCTCGGGGTTTGCTTCCAGGAATGATCTTTTCTCTAAAAGCAGAGGCAGAGGCAGAGGCAGGCGGTTGCAATTGCAAGACTTGTTGGAGCACAAACATGAACCAAGAAGCATTGCCTTAAAACACCTAATAACTCCTTCACGAAACTCCTCTGATGCCTCAGATGGTGAGAGCAACGCCGCATTAGTCAAATTTTTCAATACTACAACCATCTGCAAAAGCAATACAAGTATACTTGAACAAAATTTCTTGAGGTGTGTATTGGAATAAGAAAATGCAAGCAGAAGGTTAAACTTCATTACACCTGTTCCACGGATCCTAGATGACACTTGATTAGAAGCTCCTCAAAACATTGAAGCACGTCTTCTGCCACGACATCACTTATTTTAGGAGGCTTTTCTTTTAACTTGTCATTTAATGCCAATGGAGATCTGCAGTTTACTGCAGCTTCCAACAGAAGCAGCAGGGGAAGCAAAGTATAGCTGAAAAGATAACAGAAACTGTTACTGTATGAATCTTACACACAACCAGTGAGTGTACTTGGGAAATCAACAGTTATTTGAGTAAAAAATAACCAGTGATATTGAAATATGAAAGGAAACTCCTGTTCACCTCAATGGCATAAGATTTATGTAACCTAAACTTTATATGAGATTCAAAAATTAATGGTTTTAAAGAGCAATAAGCAAGGACTGAGAAAACACAGCAGAAGTAGAAATCAAAACATACTCCAAGAAAGGCTGGAGGGCATGAGGAGGAGAACGCCGTATGAAGTGAAGAAGATGAGAGATGCTGCCTTTGTTCTTGTTGTTGTTGTTAGGGTTTCTGAGGAGTCCCAGCAGTTCCAAGCAGTACCCCTTTAGTTCAGAAAACCCACCACCTTCCTCTCCTTCCGGAATCATCATCCTCAACAACAACTGGTTTTGTGAATATAATTATCGTCCACAACTGCTATCTCCACCCTGAAGCAGGAGATGTATTTGGATGTTAGCAGGGAATAAAATGATAAACCACTTTTTAACTTATCGCTTATTAGCTTACAGTGGTGTCAAAATGGAGTAAGTTTTTAAAAAGTGTTTTCATTAGCTTTTTTGAAGTCAAAAAAGCTATAAGCTGATAAGCACTTTTTAGTGTTTTGGCAAAAAAAAAAAAAGACCAAAAAAAGGCTTCTTTTTACATCTTAACATTCAAAAACAACCCGCCTAACAGAAAACATGCATCTATTGTCCATTCCAAAGTAACCAACATCAAAATTCAAAAGTTAAAAGTTGAAACATGTAATTGATCAGTGAAAACATGCATATAAAGAAAGTAAATGATCAAACAACTTGCTTGCAATCTGATTTCTAATCTTTTGGTTATTCTAAGCATCTGATTTCTATCCTTCTATTAACTTTGACCGCTTTTTTCATAATCAAAACTTTGGTTCCTAAGAAATCCAAGCCATAAGACTGAACAAATCAAGACACTTCATAATCTGAGAAATCTAGACGAACATGGATTATTGACATCAATCGATGAACCCAAACAACAAACAATTAGAAACATGAGCAAGAAACACGAGTTCTGTAAACGAACAACCAAAAATAGCAAAAGGCATCATCACGAACGACATTCATAACCTTGAAATTGGTATCAATATTGTCGATTTCAAAAGAAAGCAGAAAAAAAAAAAAAAAAAAAAAAAAAAAAAAAAAAAGGAAGAACGAAAGCAAAAAAGGGAAAGTTTTCGAACCTGTAGCTGTGGGGTGCGAAGGTCTCCAGCCGGTGGCTTCACAGGGGAGGCGATGGCATACGGTGGCGAGCAGGGGAGGAGTCGACGTGAGGGGCAGACGCCAGAGGCGTTGATGGAGTCCTAAGTGTAAACACTATGTGTTTGTCTTTGAAGCGTAAGGTTTTATCAGGTTAAAGGTATTGAACTCGATTTACTTCATTTGTGAAAGTGAAAATGACTTTAGGTGGACTTAAAGGCACAGTTTAATATAGTTTAGGAGTAGGTTAGATTTGCCGTTTCAAAAAAAATGATCTTTGACCCGTTCAAAATATACCATTCAATTTTATTTTATTTTATAAAAAATACCATTAATACGTGTTTGGTGTACACATTTTACCATTGGCAACCGGATACAAGAGGTAATCCCGGTATTTTGTAATTAAAAATAAAAAAACGGGTGATGTGGAAATTGGATATGTATACGTGGCTATTACACCCAATTATGTATGATTACATGGTAGTAATCATCCGTCTCCCATGTAAACACTCTCAAAATCAAAATGGTCGGTGGAAATTAGGGTTTTTATAACCAAAATCTTTGACCCGTTCAAAATATACCATTCAATTTTATTTTATTTTATAAAAAATACCATTAATACGTGTTTGGTGTACACATTTTACCATTGGCAACCGGATACAAGAGGTAATCCCGGTATTTTGTAATTAAAATAAAAAAACGGGTGATGTGGAAATTGGATATGTATACGTGGCTATTACACCCAATTATGTATGATTACATGGTAGTAATCATCCGTCTCCCATGTAAACACTCTCAAAATCAAAATGGTCGGTGGAAATTAGGGTTTTTATAACCAAACATTTTGTCGGGGGTTTTCTCATACAGTCGAAGCTTTCTTTGAGAAATTGAGGATGGTTGGTCCATCTAATGCAAAAAGGATCAACTTTTATTCAAGTAGATGTTTATTACCAGGGAATATTTACCCCCAAACCTCTTATCTACTACCTAAGCAATTATCGCGGTCAAAAATATAATAGCGATCACCGGCCGCTATTTGAAATCGCGGTTTTCGCGGCGGTATAGCGGTGATATAGCATTTTTTTTATATTATTTAAAATTTATATATATTAGAGTATTAATCAGTAAATCTTACTTTAAAGTTCAACCCAATCCAGTTAATTAGTTAATCAGTAAATCATAATTCACATATCATATTTAGTTAATCATATTTCACATATCATAATTAGTTAATCATACTTCACAGATCGGTTACCAATGCCCCAGTTAATCATACTTTAACATAATTAACAAGAAAACATATGCAATACTTACTATTTTATCGTACTTTAACACAATTACAGTCATCAAATAAAATGATTAAGCAATTTGATAGTTAATCATAATGTAGTACTTCAAGTTTTCAACACAATTAGCAAGATAACACATACATGGTTTCAATGGAAGTCATGACAGTCACAAAATTACAATTTTATTCAATGGAATGATACAAAAGTTTTGGTTTTAGCTAAGAAAAAACAATTTTATTCAATGGAATGTCACAAAAAAATGTTTTTTTTTAGGTAAAATAGCCCAAAAGTGGAATTTATTCAAATAGCGGTTATAGCGCGGTTATAGCGCCGTTATAGCGGTGACCATAATCGCGGTAAATAGCGGTAAATCGCGGCGCTAATAGCGCCACTGCTATTCTAAACCGCTGTTTTCAAATATCGTTTCCTTACCTCCGCTAACCGCTATAGCGCCGCTATACCACCGCTATAGCGCCGCTATTGACTACATAGTCTACTACATGCATCTAAACACTTCAATTACAGATGTCGATTTTGGTGGATTAAATTTTAAGGAGTTCATTTATATTCTTGAAGATGTCACAAAGGGGAAGTGTCCTGATGTCTACTACTGTCTTGCGCATAAGTCATTGGGTGATGGGTTGAGACCACTGACAAATGATGATGACTACACGAGTTTCTTGATGCTGCAAATGGTAATGAGGGGAAGATTAATGTATATGGTGATCACTACAATGAACCGGTATTTGACTGGATAGAGGAAGAAAAAGAAGAAGAAGGTGTTGACTGTTGATAGTGAAAGCTCTGATGAAGATAAGGACTCGGTCATGTCTGATGCTATATCTTTTGATCATGAACCCGATGAAGAGGTAATACCATTGACTAAGTCTGATGATCCCTTTCTTAACCATATTAGTGTTATCCCTAGAGATGATTTTAATGATGAGGATGATGATTCAGATAATGGAACCAAACAAGCCCCAGTTTATCCTTTTCATGACACAACTCAAAAATGGGATACATTGCAACCCATCCTTGGTATGAGGTTTTGTAACCCTCAAGAACTTAAACAACTTGTATCAAACTATGCAGTGGCAAACGATTATAACATTTGGTACGAAAAAAATGATAAAACTAGGTTTCTAGTCATGTGTTGTAAAACTAGTGAAGGAAAGGCAACATGTTCTTTTAGACTATGGGCTACTTGGATAAGCAGTGAAAAATCATTCCAAATTAAGTCCTTAATTAATGAGCATAATTGTGCTAGAACCTTCAAGTTTGGGTCGGTTGTGAAATACTCATGGATAGGGAAACATTGTTGTTAATGATATTTTAGAAAATCCCAAAATGAGTTGTAGGGAAATGAGGGATAAAGTTGGGGAAATTTTCAATGTGAAGGTTAGTGTTAGATAATGCAGGAATGCAAAGAAGTTTGCACTTAATGAGATTGAAGGCAGTTTAAACACACATTGTCGCCATGGTTTATACAACATGAACTAAGTCCATTGTCGCCATGGTTTATACAACAGGAACTAAGTCCATAGTCGCCAGGGTTTATACAGCAGGCACTAAGTCCATAGTCGTCAGGGTTTATCTCGTTTATTGACAGCATTATTTCAGGGAGTCCACCCGCAATACATGTCAATGGGTTTTTAGAGTACACCGGGTGAACACATCGTTCACAACACCTACAGGTTGCGAGCCTGCTAGTGTTCCACCGGACCGTCTAGAATAGTCCGTGGTTGTCAACCATACTCTATTAGATGACGGGGCCATCGCTTCGTTCATCGCTCGGCTCATCACTTCTCACTATTTTATATCATCGCTCATCATTCATCTCATCTTTCATCGCTCATCATTTATCTCATCTCTAATCTACCCATCTTTTACCCAACATATTTTGTAGATATAAAATACATATACAGTTTAAATCATTTAAAACATGTATAAATTCATTCATCCAGCATAGACAACAAGTATTCAAATAGTATGCACATATAGTGTAACATCCCAAATTTCGAGACCAAAAATTTCACTTTTAATTAAGTAATCATGTAAAATCATTTATCGAACATTGCAAATGTTATATTAATTCATAAAACCATTACGTCGTGTCTCAAAAACATATCATCGGATAATAATAATAATAATAATAATAATAATAATAATAATAATAATAATAATAATAATAATAATAATCAGAGTACAATCCCAGAAACTCAATGCGGAAATCATGCGTGAGTGTGATGTGCCGCTACCGCGCCGGCTCCTTCCCCTTCACTGAAGAGGTACCTGAAACAAAACTGAAAGCTTTAAGCACGAAGCTTAGTGAGTTCCCCCATCATACCATATACCATACAATAACATACTGTCAGACAATTTTGGGGTGCCTGAGTACCCAGGTCAAGCCATTCTGGGGTGCTTGACTTACCCAGGTCAAGCCATTCTGGGGTGTTTGACTTACCCGTCGGTCTATTTCTTCCGACTACCGGGGACTATTTCACCCCCTACTGCTACCACGTAATAATATAACACATATATTGCCATGCAATTCTGGGGTGCCTGACTACCCAGGTCAAGCCGTTATGGGGTGCTTGACTTACCCGTCGGTCCTTACGACCGACACCCGAGGACTATTTCACCTCCTACTACTACCACATAATATCATAGCATACTGTCAGACAATTCTGGGGTGCCCGACCTACCCTTCGGTCCTAACGACCGAACTTGGGGACTATTCTCCCCCTACTACCACTATCACATATAACATACCATGCTAGCACATAAACATATCAGGTAGTAGCAAACCTAGATGAATATCACAAAGACAATCATCTAACATACAATTCCTACTGGTGGGCCGGCATTGTGGCCGTAGACCCACCGCTACTGGAAGGTAACTCACCTCGATGTCGCGTAGTGTTTGCACTGATCTCGATGTGGAAATCGACTCTCCCCGACTCTTCAATCCCTACACGACAACTCTTCCAAGTTATCAACTCATACTCATACTCGCAACCCTTACAAGGGTCAACCCAAACCCAATCAATATCCAAGTCAAATCCATAGTCAAAGTCAACTTTGGTCAAAGTCAACATCCGGTTGACTCGACTCGCCGAGTTGGCCCGCCAACTCGTCGAGTCCCCATAACCACAAAATGTCATAAACCCGCTCCTACCGTCGAGTCTAGCAAGAGTTCGACGAGTTCGCCTTCCACAACACATCGGACAATCTTCAAACGACTCGCCGAGTTCGTTCTTGAACTCACCGAGTTCATCTTCATTCATAAGAACATGTTCAGTCTATGACTCGCCGAGTTCCTCCTGAACTCGCCGAGTTCCTCCTGAACTCGCCGAGTCCGTCTTCATAAGTTGGGAGATTGCCTTGGACTCGCCGAGTCTGTTCATACACTCGTCGAGTCCCATGAGTTCCAGGTCCAAAACAAACCGCTATCAGGCTGAGTGTTCCTTCCACTCAACCAAAACCATTTCCAGGAGACACTTTGGGGGAAAAAGCGTCCTGACTCTCCGAGTCACCTAAGTGACTCGTCGATTCCCTCTTTGTCCAAAACTATACAGTCGATTTCAGTGGGACTTAATGCATCCCAATCATAGATCTGACCTCCTAGGGTCGCTTTTATACGTAAAGTTATGAACTTGATGTCCATGCATGGGGTTTTTGGCTCAAAAGGCTATAAAATGGGGTTTATATGACTCATGGGTCTCCCATGGCCATAAAGTTGGCACCTTTATACCATGGGAACCCTCAATGGTTCCAGATCTGAAGCACAACCCACATATACAAGCAAAACAGAACATAGCTTCTCAAAAGCTTAGAAAAGGTGGAGAAATAGCCCCCAAAACAAGATCTAGGAAATAGATGGTCAAGGTTCAATCTTTTTTACCTTGAATGGACTGAGAATGAAGCAAAACCTTGGGATCTACTAGCTTCCTCTTGATCTCCTATGCTCTCTTCTTCTCCTTCAACTTCAATACACACCAAAAAGGCGCTAAAAGAGCTCAAATCACTCAAAAAATGGTTTAGGGTTTCAATCTAGGGTTTCTCTGAGTTGGGAGGGTGATGGAGGCTGGGTTGGGACGAGATAAAGTGTTTAAATAGGGTGCAAACCCTAAATATTAGGGTTTTGTCCAGACAGCTCCTACTCGTTGAGTCGGTCTTCCGACTCGTCGAGTAGGTCACTTAAACCCCCGATCCAACAGTTGAGTCTACTCGACGATTTGGGCCTCCAACTCGCCGAGTCCCAGAGTAAATTGTAACATTTCAATGAAATTAAATACGTACCAGGAATCGGGTGCTACGCATAGCATGTAATTTATATAAAATACTTCATATCTATGTGTAAGATGAAAGTAACTATGCACTCACTTGTTAAAGTGACGACTCGAAATTCGAGCAACGCTTCGCTTCTTAACAATATGATTTCCTTGGACGAAACCTAGTATTATTACCACTAGAGTTTAGTCTAATATTCATTGCGGCTAATTATTAGTCTAGATTCATCATTAACTCAAAGTCTACTTCATGATCTATCAAGTAAGGAACAACCAGGTAGGATCATATCGGAGGTAGGGTCCGTTTGGTATACGAAGTATACTGTTTGGAAATCCCACTTTAAACACCTCACTAAATCACATGCTAGAGATCATCCCTGTAAGTAGATCAATCAGTATAGCGACTTTTGTGACACTCATAAAAATCATGCCAAATTTTAAACTTTTTAAAACATTTCAAAACCCATGATTATTACAAACTTGTTTTCAAAATTGTAAAATGTCAGAGTATCCCAGAATCAAATAATAAAATCATGAAATATGAGGAGTTATACGATCACGCCTTCGCCTTCCCGCGATCATCAAAAGTACCTGAAACAATAATCGATAAATGTAAGCTCGAAGGCTTAGTGAGTTACCCCCAAAATACCAACGCCATAAAACATATCAATAACATATAAGCAAACAACATGCATAATGAGCCTTCAGCCTGACTGGACCGCTCTCCAAGCCTTCTGCACGTCTGGACCGCCTCGCAGGGCCTAGAGCCTTTCCGGACCGCTCACCGGGCATTCAGTCTGACTGACATGCCCTCCTAGGCCTGTAGTCTATCCGGACCGCCCTGGGTATGTTGGCCTTCAACACAAATCAGGTCCGCCTCAACCCAACCCCCAATCAAACAACATGTGCACATAATATCATACACTAGCAAATATAACAGTCAAACTGATCTAACAGATCATCAATCGTAGCAACATCCTATAACCAGGATACAGACCTAACCAGTCACTAACATAGCTGTTGGAGATAGTGTCTAAGTCCATAACTATATTTGGTATGTACTTGACCCGACCCGGCATGGTCCATTTGGGTTGCACTTCACCCGAACAATTTACGGATAATCTTTTGAGAATAGTATAAGTTATGATTTATTAATATATTATAAGTTATAATATATTAATATAAAATCATATTATTTAATTAGTGTTGATCTATAATTAATTTAGAATTAATTTAGAGATCAAAAGTATGACTAATTAAATATGGGCTCTTGTATTTATATAGTGTGGGCTAATGCTTATTTGGAATGGGCTAGGCTTGCATGGAAAGTCCATGGATACTCCATGGAGCTTTAACCCATGGATCTCATGGAAATGAAAAGACATGGGTATTAGGGTTTACATGGATGTAACCCTAATCCACCACACTATATAAAGGAGGCTTTGGTTCTTGAAATAGGACTAGTTGATGTGTGTAAACTAAGAGGGCCGATTTCAAGAAGTTTGTGACTATTCTCTCAAGTTTCCAAGTTTGTGGTGATTTGTGACTTCCATTTGAGGCATCCACATTATTGGTGCTAGGCTCTCAAACTCCAAGCAATCAACTACTACTACATGGTAAGTAATTATACTAGTTTTATTTGATTCAAGTACCCCATGCCATGCTAGTTAGGATAAGAACCTTGGAAAAATAATTATTTGCATGTATCTTAGTCAAACATAGATCCAAGGTTTCTAGGGTTGCATGTACACC